AAAAAAAAAAAAAAAAAAAAGAATAAGACCTAGTATTTAGCCCAACAGCAAGACTATAGTCAATAATAATTTAACTGTACATTCAAAAATAACTAAAAGAGTATAACTGGACTGTTTATAACACAAAGGATAAGTGCTTGAGGGGGTGGAGACCCCATTCTCCATGATGTGATCATTACACATTGCACACCGGTGCCAAAATATCTCATGTACCTCATAAATATATATACCTGGCCAGGCACAGTGGCTCATGCCTATAATTTCAGCACTCTGGGAGGCCAAGGCAGATGGATCACTTGAGCTCAAGAGTTGGAGACCAGCCTGAATAACATAGTGAGCCCTTGTCTCTACTACAAATTAAAAAAAAAAAATCAGCCAGGTGTGGTGGTGGAACGAGCTGAGATCAAGGCTGACATGAGTCGTGATCACGCCCCACTGCACTCCAGCTGGGGCAACAGGGCAAGACCCTGTCTCATACACACACACACCCATATATATACATACACACACATAAATTTGTGTATATAACTTACACATAATTCATTATAATGTATATATTATAATTCATTATATATAAATTGTTTTTTTAATTAAAAATAAAAACAAAATGAAGAATGTCAATATTTCTGAAAGACCACTGTCCAGAAAGAACACAGAGCATATTCAAGGCTTGAGTTGTCCATTGGCTCATCAGCCACATTGCTCTGAAAAATGCAAACACAGCTTTTATACAAGCTCATAATAAAAAGTCCCTATCCCAGAATTTAAAATCTCATTCAAAAACCATCGCAAAAAATGAACATCTTGTATCGCTGGCTGTCATTCAAAGCTGGCAGCTATTTGAATTTCACTGTATTCTGACTTCAAAGTTTTCAAAAAATGTTTTGTTCTTGGTGGGCTACATAAAACCATCGACGATTATCTAGTCACAGTCACAGTGATCGTGTTCAACCCCATGCCAGACTAAATGAACTGCCTCCACCACACGTGCCTTCCCAGGCCCTGCCCTCAGTGCGCCCATCCCTCCTGGGCTCCTCTGCTGAAAGCTGGCAGCCCTTCCTGGAATGGCTCCCACTAAACCCAGTTGATGGCTGGCCTGTTCCGTACAGCATTTCCAGGCCAGTCATACTGCATCAAAGGCTTTAGGGCATGGCTGTAAATCCTAAGGAACCAACAACATTCAACTGAAAACAGTGGATGAGTTTGAAACTACCGCTTCCCTGTATTGTTCCTTAATAAAACCTCCAGTTAATTTAAGGGCTGATCTTTCTGTTTGGTCTGTTTTCTACCCAGTGCTTTGCCGTCTGGAACCATAGATCTTCTAGTCAATAGTGATTTGCTTATTTGGAGCATTAAATCCTAGTCAAACGGTCTGAGATTTCCCCACATCCTTTTATGTGTTTGTTTATTTTAAGACAATCTCACTCTGTCGCCCAGGCTAGAATGCAGCAGTGGGATCTCGGCTCACTGCAACCTCCGCCTCCCAGATTCAAGTGATTTTCCTGCCTCAGCCTCCCGAGCAGCTGGAACTACAGGTGCTCGCCACCACACCTGGTTAATTTTTGTATTTTTGGTAGAGACAGAGTTTCACCATGTTGGCCAGGCTGGTCTCGAACTCCTGACCTCAGGTGATCCACCCACCTCGGTCTCCCACAGTGCTGGGATTACAGGCGTGAGCCATGGCAACCGGTCGTATGCCTACATTAAAGCAGAGTACCCATTTGACCCTGGAATAATTCAGTTCAGCAACTAATTCGTCAAAAACGTTCTCCAAAGGAAGACAGGGGGAATGTGAAGGGTGGGCTGTTTTCTGCAGATCGTGGTTTAACGCCCAGTGCCCCTGCCCACTGGCTGTGCAGCCCTGAAAAGGTCTCTCAACACCCCTGGGCCTCAGTGTCTGCATCTGTAAAGTGAGCAGCAGCATGACACCACTCGGCTCCCAGTTTCCAGGGAAACACATGACAGTGCAAATAAAAGACTAAAGAAAACCGCTTGCTGGAACCCAGTCAAAGGTAACCACTGTCATCTGGGTTGTGTTGGGGCGGTTGGGTGGGTGGGGGAGGCGTGGTGTGGATGCATGAGGACCCAGTGCCTGATTTACACGAGAGTACGAGCGTGTCCGCAAAAGAGCTGAGCCAATAACTGGATCGTTGAGACAGTGACTACATAGTATGGAGCCCCCAACCCATCTTCAACTGTGGTCCAAGCTGTGCGCCCCAGGTGAGACAGCCCTCAGGAACCAACCTCTCTGGAAGGGAATCCATCCTAAACCCTGCTGTCTGGCTAACAGTGGGGGGACCCACATTACTGATACCACAGACACACAAAACATCCCTGCCCCCAGCATGGATCCGTTCCCACTACCTCGTCCCTTGTTAAATCTAAACCCTATTATCGGGCCAAGTCATTTTTAAACAGGCCAAATTTCCCACCCCGCTTTATCTATCAGATAAAGTGGTATAGAAGAAGAACTTCCTAAGAATATCCATAGCCCCGGTTAATTCGCCCTTAAGGGCCTATTCCACATTCCCCACACATTTTTACAGTCTCACAAAACCTAAAATATCCACCAACAAATAGACTGTACTGCCAAAACTGTGCCGAAAGTTTGTATCATATCAAAACTGAATCTGTAAGTTTCACATCTTATAAGCAAACAACTGTAACTGGAAGCTGTTAGCTATCCAACCCTTCCTATATTACAGAATTGCAGCCAACCTCAGAAACGAAACAAATCAGAAAGTTAACTTTTTAATTCTTCCAGGGCTTCTGTGGCAATGTTGTATCCTAATAACTCACTGTTTAAACAATTCCTCTGAAACACTGACTCAAACAGCCCGCCAATCTGAGGTCTTCTTGGCAGTAGTTTGGGTTTATAAATAAGGTCATCTGCCTGCAATAGCATCCTTGGATGTCAGGCAAACCTCAAAGAGCCACTAGGGGACCTTTATTGTTCCCCCAACACCCGCGAAGTTCTTCTGTCTCTTCTGTGTCTCCCAATTCCAACACCTCCCCAGCCCCGCGGGCCAGCCCTGGCACACAGGATCAGAGGCGTGGAGGACCGGCCAAACTTCTGACAGCTGAGCCGAGGCTTCCCCTCCCTTCCGTTCACCTCCAGCCCCAGTGCAGGCGAGCAAGGTTCCCACACTGGCTCCACCACTAACTGGGCAGGCCTCTTCAACAGCACCCAAATTACAAGCCCGCGTCCAGGGGCAGAAGCCAAGATCAAATGAGGCTATGCTTTTCAAAGAGCTTGCACAAAGCCCTACACACGTAAGGCCGACTGTTATTATCTGCAGGAGACAGAAAAACCAGACCAAGGGAACACCGGCTGCATTATAGGGTGACTCAGGGACCCATCTGACAATTTCCAACGGTCCCACCCTAGAATTAATTGGCACATGGAAGGGGCAGTGACCTCTGATCTTCCCAGAGACCCCTGTGGCTGGCTGATGAAAGAGCACCCCCAAGCAAACCCTGTGACCCAGATCACCTGGAGGCCACATTTTAATAGCTGTACTCAGGAGTCACTAGCCTGCTGAGAAAGGCGCTGAGCCCTGGTCTTGAACTTGGAGAACCACAGGCCTGCTCCCAGGAAAATGCTGACGGAAGCGGCGCGGTGCCTCTCCCCCTCGCTGGGCCTAGGTGGGGTGCTCACCCCCAGCATCCAACCAGCGGCAACAAATCCTTGCAGAGCTGCCCGGGCCCGGCCCAAATGCGCCCCGGCATGCCAGGCGGGGCCCTTGGCGGGTTCCTGAGGCTCTCCAGGAGGCCCATCCGGAGCTGCTCCTCCCACCCCGACGGCCACTCACCAGATACAGACACCTCCATGAGCGCCTCCAGCGGCCGGTTGTTGTCCAGGTCGCGGCTGAGCTGCAGCTCACCCGTGGCGGGGTCCAACAGCAACAGGCACAGCTCATTGCCCTGCAGGAAGGTGTAGTTGAGGCTGTCCGACACGTCGGGGTCATGGGCCGGGATGCGGCCGATCACCCCGGTGGGGAAGTTGTTGGACTTGTTGGTGACATAGTTGTTGAAGAGGATCTGGAAGTCGGGCAGCACGGGCGGGTTGTCATTCTGGTCCACGAGAAGGATGTGGACCGTGGCTCGGCTCACCAGCGGAGCCGATGTGGCCTGCACCACCAGCACATACTCCCGCCGGACCTCAAAGTCCAGCTCCACCATGGCACGCAGGTCCCCGTTGAGCAGGTCCAGCTGGAAGAAATGCCGCATATCCCCTTCCACAATCTGATACATGATCTGGGCATTGGGGCCTTCATCGGGGTCGTTGGCACGAATCTTTGCCACCACCGACCCCACTGGGTTATTCTCCTCAACAAACAGCTCCAGTTCATCCTTCTCAAACATGGGGGCATTGTCATTAATGTCCAAGATGGTCACCTGGATTTCCACCGAGGCGCTAAGGGGAGTGGGACTGCCCCGATCCACAGCCAGAGCCCAAAGGTTGTACACGGCCACATTCTCCCGGTCCAGCCGGCGCTGGGTGCGGATCACACCAGACGTGGGCTCGATGTAGAAGTCCCCATCGCCGTCGTCCCCACCCTGGAAGGTGTACAGCAGACGTCCATTGGGACCTGAGTCCCGGTCTGTGGCGGAGACCTGGAGGATGCTGGTTGAGGGTGGAGCATCCTCAAAGATGGAACCCTGGTAGAAATCCCACAGGAACTGGGGCGCATTGTCATTGGCATCGAGGATGAGGATCTCTAGGGTGGTGGTGTCTGATTTCTGCGGGATGCCATTGTCCTGGGCCATGATGGTCAGTGTGTAGGCGACCTGGTTCTCATAGTCCAACTCCATCATGGTGTACATGGTGCCACTGTCGGGGTCGATGCGGAACTGTGGCACCGGGTCCTGAATCACGTAGGTGATGCGGGCATTCTCTCCTGTGTCCTCATCGTTGGCACTTAGGGTAGCAATGGAGGTGCCCACAGGCCTGTCCTCACTGACACTCACTGTGTAATGGGAGCTCTGAAAGACAGGCCGGTGGGTGTTGGCGTCGGTGACATTGATTAGGACGTGCGCAGTGTGTGACCGTGTGCCGTCAGAGGCCGTCACCGCCAGCACGTACTGCTGCTCCTGTTTGTAGTCCAGAGGTAGCGCCAGGGTGATGAGGCCGCCCCCTCTCTGGCTGCTGAGTGCAAAGCGGTTCCGGGTGTTGCCCCCCGTGAGCTGGTAGGTAATCACACTGTTAGCATCACGGTCGCGGGCCTGCAGGGTCAGCACGCTGCTCCCTACAGCCGCATCCTCATTCAGACGAAGCTCGTAGGTGGGCTGCGTGAACACCGGGTCGTTGTCGTTCACATCCAGCACCGTGATGGACACGCTGGTGGAGGAGCTCATGGGGGGCGAGCCGTGGTCCACCGCCTCCACCCCGAAGCTGTAGTGCTCCACCTCCTCGCGGTCCAGCTCGGCACACACCGTGATCCAACCGGAGCTGTTGTGGATCTGAAAGGGGAAGTCAGGGGTGGGGGCAGGGTTCTTAGGCCCAGCACTGCCACCCCCCAGAAAGGCGGAGGCTGTGTCCACCAGGCGATAGTGCAGCCGGGCGTTCTCCCCTGAGTCCGCGTCCACCGCCTGAATGTGCACCACGGGGTAGCCCAGGGGCACATTCTCCAGCACCGTGGCCTGGAACGGGCTGCTCACAAAGATAGGCTCGTTGTCGTTGACATCCAGCACCTGCACAGACACCACCCCGGAAGAATTGATGAGCGGGGGCCGGCCCCCATCCTGGGCCTTGATGCTCAGCGAGTACTTCTGGACATCCTCGAAATCCAGGGGGTTGATCACATCCAGGATCCCGCTCAGTGAGTGCAGGTAGAACTGGCCAGCCACGTTCCCGCTGAGGATGCTATAGTGAATGGCCGCGTTCTGGCCCTGGTCCCGGTCCGTGGCCTGCACTCGCAGCACAGCGGTGTTGAGCCCCACGTCCTCTGGCACCTGGACCACGTAGTTCTGCTCACTGAACTGGGGGTAGTTGTCGTTCTCGTCTTCCACCTCGATGTACACGGTGGCCGTGGCGCTGAGCGGGCCCGGGTTGCGCCCCTGGTCGTTGGCCTCCACCAGCAGCTGGTACTCGGCCGCCTCCTCCCGGTCCAGCACCGCCCTCGTGCTCACCACGCCGGAGCTCTCGTTGAGCTGGAAGACGTCCCACGCGCCCCCCAGCACACGGTAGCGCAAGTTGGCGTTGACAGGCGAGTCGCGGTCGCTGGCGCGGATGGTCAGCACCTCGTAGCCCACCTCCAGGTTCTCCCGCACGCGCTCGCGGTACT